ATGTAAGGATTTTATTGTATTTGTAGTACAGTAACCTCCTCCTCCTCCCACTTCTTCAATTACCCTGACCAAGTACAATATGCTTAACGAAGTGTATTTAATCAAAACATAAGCTCCCTTGGTATTTAACGACCAATACAATACTGTAAGCTCAAAAACGCAAGTCAATCATGTAGGAGATTACAGTACAACATAAAGACAAAAGAAAAAACTTAGTATAGAACCTCCATTTTCATGTGGCAAAGTCAAAAACATGACCAGACCTTAATGTATGCTATTTTATTTGTTTTTTACATCACTGGTGAAGTTTTATGTACAGTATTTTTTTGTATTCGATTTTGTTATGGGCATTGTTGTTGGATGATGAACATAAGAATGAAAAAAATCAAACAAGAATGCATTTACATTTCTAATGTCTTAGACATGTTGTCAGCTGCTGTTAGATTTTTTTTTTTTTTTTTTTAACTTGGTATTTGATACAAAAAACAAGAATTATTTTTTTTTTACTGATTCAAATCTCATGCCATATCTAAATTCCATGATGTGACACCATGCTCTTACTGTCCCTTGTAATATCATTAGTTCTGACAAAAGAGATTGCTTATTCTTAATGGATTGTTGTTGAGAGGTGATGGTTTACTGTACAGTACATTGTAAAAATTAGTCATTTTTTATTAGTTCCTTTGTGACATTAAGGTCACAAGGAACTAATGGGGAAATTAGAACATGAAATGTGTGTGTGTGTGTGTGTGTGTGTGTGTGAGCAGCGGGTTTGTAAACGAATAGGCTCCTAAACGGTGCCTCACGGTGGGTATAATTTTTTCCTCATAGTAACTGGTGGACATATAATTGGGCAAGAATTGTTTGTTTTTTTATGTTAGATGAGAAATGTTGGACGTACGCGATAAAACATATACCCCACCACCATTTTTGAGTTGTTTTTAGGAGAAAATTTTGATATGCGCATGCGTCGGAAAAACTCTGCCGACATTTTGTTTTTCATCGCGAGAGGGTAAGCGAGCTTCATAATGCATACCTTGTTGGTGTAGTTGACCAATTGTTTACGGGATTGTCGGTAGGGTTAGGCCTCTGTCGTGTTAATGTAGCAGGTGCACGTGCTATTAAAAATGAAAAAAGTGATCTAACCAAACACGGTCTTTACATAATGGTATTGGATCGGACGTGTTTTCTGTCGCGAGAGTATACAGTTTACACTAGAGAAGTTGTCTGTGTTGTTAATGCGAACGTCTAGGCCCTAGCGTAAACTTAGGTAGTTGTGGTAAATCGACTACTGCTTGTCGTCTAGTAGGTGTAACATGTGTTTTAGTAAAAATTAACGTGATCTGAACAACATTTTACATTATGGTATTGATTCGAATGTGCTTACCTACCTAAAGTCTTTTACACACGATGAACACGGCAATTGACGTTGCTGTTGGTGTGTAATATGTACAAAACACGTCGACGACAGCAGCATTCAGTCAGTCTTGTTAAAATAAATAATATATTGGTCTACCACAAGACTACCATACAGATCAATAAACAATAATCCGCGACAAAATAAAAATCAAGAGTATTTGTAACGATTTAAAATAACCTCCTTGGTCAAACAATGAAGACTATTTTAGTAGATGATAAATGGATAAGTTTGACTTCTAAAACCGCCAACTTTGGATCTGTGGTTTGACCAGTCAAGTTCAAAACAGTGGCAAATCTGCCAAATTGTGAAAAAAAAGGACATTTTGTGGTGTAACCCAACACCACCCCAGCCCTACCATTGTTTGGGTTAAGGTGGGAGCTTTTTAGGACATGACGGCTTTGGATACCCGAAAATTTTAAGAGTTTTAAGTCGGCAGAATTCGGAGACAATTCCTTTATTTTTTTAGCATTTGTTAAATTTATCGACCTAGGCCGACTTACCCAATCCTCAGACCCTGGGACTTCACCTGGGGAAATTCGTGTACGCGAAGTTGGGCGTAAAGTCGGTTTAGAAACCATTACTGGACTACAAATCCCTCTAAACTACCTGGTAGCTGGTAACTCTGGTTACCAGCTACAGTACTACTGGTGTAATGGATGAAAAATCCAATACTCGTCACAGAACTATGAAAAATCTAGTATGGTTGTAATTAACTAAATACAAGAATGTACTGTAGATATTGTTTACTGTATCATTCCACACCTTATTTAAGCTCTATACCAATCTGCTTATTTACTGTATTCCATAGTGACCAGATAGTACTGTATGTTAGGGTGCCACAGTTCTGAATGGTTGGTGGTTATTATGGTTACAGTAGGGTATGCAAAGTAAAAAAAAATCAAGTAATAACATATCTATCCTAGGATGCATATTGATTAGGGCAATGGATGTTGCTGATTGGGACCTTATTGATGTAACACATTGTAGAGTACTAAGATGCATAATTCAGTTAAAGCGAGTACTGTACAGAACAGTATGTGTGGGTTAGCAGAGTCCTGTTTATGCATATTTTTGGCTTATGGAGGCAGGGTACAATATCTATGGTTTTAGTTTTTAATATCTACCCAAAAATTCAAAGTAAAGTAACATTCCTTCTTTTTGTTTTCAAGAACGAAATAGCCAAAGCATTTTTTATTTATATTTTTACAGTAGGTAAAATAGATCTATATTATTATTATTATTAGCTGATGTATCAAACCACCAAACACTACTCACTACAGAATAATACTGTAATATTGGATTGGAAACTTACTATTTTTTTATAGATCTATCCAACAGAACATTGCTATCTTCTGGAACTACAGTACTAGGTGATTGACACATAGTTGAAATATGTATCAAGTTAAATCCACACGCACTATGTAGATAATTTCGCCCACCCTGTTATTTCATGGAAAATAAGTAAATGTTAATAAAGTAAGTGAGGAATAAGATTAAAATGAGGCACACAAAAATATAATAACAAAGAAAGAGACCTAGTTGGCATATTGTAAGATTGAATATGTTATTGACAGACCTAAATAATTTGATGATTTTGGTGACATTATCAAAAATGACCTTTGGGAATAAGCTGGAGAAGGATGTTCTCCACGTTAGTCTCAAAGCAAAAGTTAAGTATACCTTATGTCAGAAGTAAAGTGTGAGCAAATTTAGAGCCATGGGATCATTGTTCTGGCACTCAACCACCTTAGCTAAACTTCCTAGTTTGAAAGTGATCTGTAAACTATTGTATTAGATAACCAGAGTGAGTGTGTACTAGACAATAGAGAAAGGTACCCAACTACATGTTAGTGATGAATCATTGTTTAATAAGATTAATGTAAAGGACATTAATGTGTCATAGAAAAAGGACATGAACTGTAACATGTAAGTAAGTACTCTACAGAACAGTACAGTACACTGTAGGATTTCTGTTAATTTAATTGGAGTGATTCAACGTCTTAATAGGAAAACAAAATCTTGGACTGGTGTGTAACAATAAGATTGCTCAAATATTTTCTTTTCTGATAGAAAATTTTTATTATGTTGTTACTTAATTAGTTGAGCCCAATCACACTTGCACTGTATTACATTGAATCAGGCCTGCCTTAACTACGGCCAACTCAAAACGACCGTTCTGTTGGCGGTTAGTATTTTAAGTCGGTTCAGGGTCATCACACTGCGAATGTTCACACTTCCTTCTTTGCAACAGGTTTTTTGCATGAAATGTTATGGTATAAGATGCCAAATTAAACAGAACTATCAAAGTGTCCTTGGCGACCCAGGTTCGGTTTATGTTCAGATATGAAGATGGGTTCGACAAGGTCCTGCATTGCAGGACCTGAGCCGACTTTAAAGTTGTAGGTTAGTTCTGGGTCAGCTTAAAATATATTAATTGTTAACACTTTAAAAAGGTGGCCATGAGGCGTTTGTGGGTCGATTTAACTATTAACTGTGATTATGCTCTTAGAGGAGTAAATTTCAGAAATTTTTGTCTCGTGGCACAAATCTTTGTATTGTACACTAATCTGTACATTTTAATTTTCTTTGTATAATGTAGTGATTTTTAAAAAATGTTGGCAGTTTCCCTTTGTTTAGATCTTTAGTCTGTGTACTGTACTATTAAAGAGTGAGTTGGTGATAACATTGGTAAACTCTACATAATAATTATAGATTTTAAGGATGGACAAGAGGGGTAGGCCTATGAAGGTGGGTGTAGGGCGATGAAATTAGCTTTAGACTGTGGAAAACATGAGGCTGGGTGGCCCACCTACCACAACTACATCCTTGGGTGTTGCAATTATTTTTTTTTAATGTACAGTAATGGATGTTAAGTTGAATGAAGAAAAAATATCTTGTTAAAGGAAGAGTCTCTTCATGTAAATGGGTCAAGAAGTTGGTTGCATTGTTGTATTGTACACACTCTGTATGCAACTTCTCCCATGGGTATACTGTACCATAAGTACCTGGTGTGTGAATGCCTCGAAAGAATATTCGTATATAGATAGTATTGAACACTGCATAATTAGGCCAACTCTCCAAGGAGCCTGTGAGGTTGAACATTGATTCAAAAGTACATTGAAGTACATTGAATCAATTCTGTATCCCAATATACACGCTGAAACATGAAAGTGAAGTGTTATTATTATTATACTGTACTGATACAGCCTACATGTACAGTACCTGGAAACTAATTTGTTTGATGACAATACTTAGGTTCAATAAGGAAGTGTATATATAATAATAATAATTTCTATATTTATTAGAAATATTTCATGAGAGAAGCCTAATATTACAAAGTAGTGACCTGTATGTCATGTCCATGATTGATAATAAAATAAAGTTGGATTTTAATGTACAGCGCTTTACACCAGCATCTCAAAGCGCTCAAAGTAACATTTTTTTATATCAAGTGTTTTTAATCTCCAATTTTATATTTGTTTTAATTATAAATCTGATGTTGTGTACATTTTTCAGATACAACCCTTGACGTTCCTTGAGGGGTCAACACAGTTACATACTCAATGACAGGCAAGAGAGAATGTCTGAGCGTGCTGGGTTAACAAATAAGGGGAAAGATGGCAAGACCAAGTACTCATCGCTTAATCTCTATGATACTTACAAGGGAGATACAAGTAAACCTCAACGAACTACAGGTAAAATTTAAATACTTACCTTACACTCTACAAATGTTGCCAATTTCAAAAGGCCATAGATAATTAAGCATAGGCTATTTTTATTGGTTCATCTGTTCCTGAATAATCTTTGGCCTGCAGATTACCTTTGGGTAAATAATGTTAGGAAATTGTGCTAGTCATATGGATTAGGTGCATACAATTAATCAAATGACAACACCTGTATTATTGACTACTACACATAAACAGGAATTAAGTAACTTTTTAGCATGTACCTGGTTCCCCTACTGAACATTGCTCTGGGAAAAACAGCTCTTTTGTATGCTACTGATGATATCTAGGCTGTCATTTTGAAATGTGTACTGTAATTTAGGTTACCATGTCAATAATTTTGGATCGTCACTATGGAGGGAAAAAAAATAAAATTAAAGCATCAGGTTCTGTTTCTAGTGTGTAGAAATCAATTTGTGGCAAAGACAAGCTAAACCAGTCACTCGTCGCAATTCGTGTTTCAGAGATGGTGGCCAGAACATGCTGGAATGTCAAAATTTTTGAAATCTTTTATTTTACCAAACTAACCTCCATGTATTTATACGTCATGCCATGCTGTTATTTTCTTTATTTTCAATGCTAAAAAGCAACAATTTTTAACAATTTGGTGGTGGCCTCTGCCAGAGAAATGCCAGAAATCATAAACTTTGAAGGCCGATTCTCAAATATTGTTCTTTAAACAGCTCTATGTTTCAATGCTTTTAACTTCATGAGGAAATGTCGGATTTAACTGATTCTTTTACCATTTTATAGCTCTCATTTTACTGCTTTACCTATAACTAAAAATTGATTTTTGCAACCAGTGACTGGTTTGGCTTGTCTTTGCCACATTTTGTGTAAAGAGATGCATACCAAGTTGTTATTTGTTATGAATTTGTGTATTAAAAGTTCCAAATAATATCAGAGGATGAATTAAGTTTAATGAATGAATAAATAAATAAATGGTAAGGGTAATTGATTTTTCCAAATTGCAGTAAGTCATGGCCGTGGATTGCAAAGCTTGGGAAAAGTGGGGACCTCACGCCGAGTACCACCACCAGCTGTCCTACCTAGTTTAAGAAGTGAAAGTGGAGGAAACGACCCTAACATCAGCTTAGTGCCAGAAGGTGGCTCAGGATGGAAATCAAAAGACCAAAGAGATACAAGGTATTTCAAGTTTTTATTGTTTAGGAGAATGGGTATGAGGAATAAATCTTGGCATGGAGAGATAACTCCATAGATATCGTACAGTAAGTTATAATGTTCTCTACAGTGATACAGTATGGTACTCTACCAGTTAAGTAAAAAGATTTTTTAAGTTAACTCTCTGGGTCTAATATGCAAGTTGTTTTATAAAAATGCTTTTTTTTTCACTGATTTAATAGGAAATAAACAAGTGTGTTCAATAAATTTGTAAAAAATATGTTTATTATTAATATAAGATTATTAAATTTCGATTAAATTCCATTCAACTCAAACTTATGAAATTGTGCAAATTTTATAAACATTTAATTTTTTAGTACATTACCTCTATGTACTCAAGCATTTAAAACACTGATTGTTACCAGAACTTGTTTTAAAAGGTAGTTTTAAAAACTATTTAATGTGGTGCCAGTGAGATACTCTTCTTGCTCTTTTGAAGAATTGAGATTGTTAAATGAAATAATATGACTACTATGTTAGGTGAAGCTGTTTGGTGATTTGAATGAAAAGTAGATTGAGGCTAATGAAGGCCTTTCTTTAGCTGGACTCTAATAATTATAATGATAATGTTAATGATGAACCTGGGCCTAGTTGTAGTAATGCAATGCTCAAATTGCTATAATATTAATTTTTTTGAAAATTTATCCTTTTATTTTTTACTACAAAAACATTGAATAGATATCACCAAAGCTATTTTCCATTTGTTTTAAGAATGCCAGCACCTAACAGAGGAGCTGGTCCCTCAAGACGCGATGATGCTCAGAGACCAGCTATTATAAGTGAGAAAACTCTACTGCAGTTAGATGATCTAGAAAATGATCTTGATGATTCAGGATGGGCAGGTGCCCCACAAGAGGTAGACTATGGCGAGAAACTGGTATTTAGTGATGATGAAAGCCAGGTTACCCCAAAGTCAAAGAATGATAGGAAGAATGATGCGGATACGTCAAACAGGTAGGATTTCATTCATTTTCCAGTGTTCCTGTGTTGGTTTTAAGTTACATAATGATAATGGTTTATAGTGTCCAGTTCTCAAAAATAGTGCAACTATTCACAGAAAACAATCATGTAATGATCCATTTACAGATTTGCTTACATATGACATTGTGTAATCTATTTATTAAAATTCTCATCCAACTTAGAACTACAGTAGAATTATAATTAAATTTTTTTTTTAAATCATTATGTTGGTCTTAAATGTTAGTATTTATTTGTAGTTATGAATTTATAGATCCTATGTTAGGTCAAAAAAACTGTTTTGATTATTTGCAGTCATCGTACCAGACAAAATTGTATTAGTTTGAAGTAAGTAGAAATGGAGCTCTTTGGATTATACAACTGGCAGCCCATGGACAATGCTTAAATGCTTTCTATAAAATATTCTATTTCTGTTCTAAAAAACATTGTAACATAATTCTAAAAAAGCAAACTTTGTGACTTTAGAAATGAAGAAGATTCAAGGTCAACCCATGAGAGGCCTCCATTGAAGACTAATAGGGAGAGAGATGAAAGAACTCAATCTTCAAGACAGGCATGGTCACAGCCGAAGGAAAGTACAAATGCACCAAAACAGTCCCTGCCACCTACAGTGAACCAACCTCAACAAGCTACTAGACCACCATTGTTAAACCATCCAACCAGACAACCTACTCCAATGGGACAACAGGTATTTTTTGTATTTGTTTATTTTAAGATTGTAGTTAATATAATAACCATTGCAATTTTCTCATCAGCATACTATTTCAATTTTTTGCAGGTGCTAGACTTACGAGTGCCCTTGAGCTTTCTATACTCATTATTCAACATACTGACTACAATACATACATTATTTCAAATGAATAAAAGTCACCAAAAAAACTAAATTAAAATAACTTAAGAACCCTGTGTAATATAAATGTGTGTATGTAAGACAATAGTGCTGTGCTAATTTAAGGCTATAGTTAATAAATTAATAATTGTACATTATTGTTTTTCTGATCCTTGGGCACATTTAGGAAACCACTTTCCTTGACTCCAAAATGATGACATATATTATTCATGTATTTTATTCCAGAGGTGGCATTCACAAGGAATGGCAACACCCAATTATGAACCAAGACCTTCATCAGGTCATTTTCAACAGCCACCTAACCGTTTTGTGCATCCTCATGGAGGCGGTGGGCATCCCGGTATGCCAAATGCACTGCACAGTGGGCATCCTCAACAGGTTGCCTCTGCTGGTGGGCATAGCTTAGGGATGCCCAGTAGCGGACATCTTGGTCATCTTGCTTCTTCAAGTCAAGCTCATCAACCACCACCACTACCACAACCCACAGCATCAACTGCCATCCCTGGTGCCCCGCAAGCTAAACCACAAACGGTGCATCTTCCTCCTCAGGTATATTTTAGAATAATGCTTTGTTGTAGTGTGTCTATGGTGAAATGGTTTTAAAATGTTGTTTGTATTTACAACATTAAAACTAAAGCATTTATAAAATATCCAGGCAGTGTAGTAAAGATAGAAAATAACCTGCTACTCACAGCTTTACTGGCCATAACATAGCTTTTACTAAACAAATTTTCCATATCATAGCTTTACGCATTTTTAATTTAAATTACCATTTATAATTTAATTGAAGTTACTTTATAAATTTTGTTGCATTTTTTACAGATCCAAGCATTAGATGAAGAAGACGTGACATGGCACCAACAAAGACACAAACAATCTGAAAAAATGACAAGTGCAATTGAAAGAGCAAGGCAACGCAGAGAAGATGATTCAAAGTCTGAGGAAGAGCGAAAAGCTGCAGCACAAGAAAAATTACGATTGCTAGAAGAAAAAATTGCACGTAGAAAAGGAGATCCAGCTGCAAAAACATCCAGTGATGAAGATACTAGTGGGAAAGCTGTTGATACAGTAAAACGACAAAGAACTGAAAGTGAGGGCAGTGAGGGTTCAAGGCAAGGCAACAGAAGTAAGATTTATTCCTTGGATTTTAAACTTGTCTACCATATTCATCTTATTTATTAATTTTTTTTTAATGATCAGCATGTTTTGTCAATTGACATATGCTTTTGGTAAGCAGTTGAAATGATTTGATGAGCGAATGATTTTTGTTTAATTCTTAAAGTATCAAAATTAAATCCAGGATCTTGACAACAGGACAAATATTTTTAGTTCTAGTAAATTTGTCAGTCAAACTGGGAAATGTTGCTGGTGGTACTACTGGTGAATATTTGCAATTTGAAAAAGACTTTAGCTTAGTTTCCCACAAATTGATATATTTAAATAGATCAGATAGATATGAAATAATGTTGCTAATATAATAGTATTGATGCTGCCTGATAAATATTTTATTATTCCCTATCTTTATTGTATTTGTAGGCGCTAGTGGATACACATCTGGAGGGTACGGTTCAAGGTCCACCGCTAAAAACTTACCACCACGGTTTCAAAAGCAGGAAATGATGCGACAACAGGAACAGCAATTACAGGTGCAGTCCAAGTTACTCTTTGCTAATGTTAAAAAAAATTGTAAATACAGATTTCAGTTAAGAATATTGAAATGCTTAGTAAGCTGTAGTTAGGGGTCATTCATTTTTCCATCATTTTAAGAGAGTTCAAACTATGACCCTTACCACTTACCCCTTCCCAAAAAAAGAGTAATGGATTATATACACTGTTTACTAACAGATGTTTTGTACTCTTGTTGAGAAATTGTTCAGAACTTTCCTATCATATCAGTAAAAATTAATATAAGTGCATTTTTAATGAACGAATAGGGCCCATCAAGTCGAGGCATTAAGCAACCAATTTTACACGCACAAGGTGAACAGCGTCCACAGTGGACAGGACAAACAGGACCACCACCTGTTCCAGCATTTGTTGGAGATCCGAGAGGTAAGCTTAGTTGACGAACTAAAGACTGCTGTTAAAGATTATGCTTTCATAGCCTGTCATTTGAGTTAATGGCACCTCCTACAATTACCCAGAGCCTCTTCATACATGCTATGCAAGTTCTTAAACTGTCAATGAGATAAAAACTAAGTGATATATTTACTTACAATTGATAATTAAATACAACTTAAAACAAAACCAGTCTTCTACTTTTATTTCTTCTGCTTCAAAATTTTTGTTTGTAAAATGTTTACGAAAGCTGAATTGTTTGTGATTTAATGGTTGTTAAGAAATTGTTTAATGCTATTCAATAGAATTTTTGAATTTTATTTAAGGTTTCACTATAAACATATATTTAAGATAAAACAATGATAATTAGTGTACTTCTTTAAAATATTTTTTTTGTAGATTTACTGTATAAAAGTATATTTTTTGTTTAATTAACATACTGTATGCTTCAAAATTAATTTCAGTGTTACAAGGACCCCCTGATCGATCATTTAACACTAGGAGACGGCAAGATAGCCAGGGCTCTGATAGGCAAGCTAGAGATGATGACGATTTACAACCACCTTACCACCAGCGGAGGATATCTAGCGATAGAGACTCTCCAGATGAAAGCAAAAGACCAATAAGGAATGTGAAGGATACATTAGAAAGAAGCAAAAATGCTTTTCCACAAAGTAACAGAATTGATGATGTTATGGTTAAGCAAAGTGAATATGTGATGGATAGAATGTCATCAAGAAGTGAGAACCGTAGAGAACATTGGAAACCTGAAAATGATACAATTAAAAAAACAGAACACTATACTGATATTGAAAAGAATGAGAAAACATTGACTAACATTATAGATGATGGACAAAATGACACAAAACAAAGTAGCCAATCAACTAAACCATCCAATGACCAAATATATAACCAAGTGGATGTAGCAAGGCCTAGTTATGACAAACAAGAGGAAGGTAAGCATACCTTTTCTAAAAAGGGTGGAAGGTATACCAATCAAAGAGATGATACCAGATATGCCAGCCAGAAAGATCAGAGGCGGTATGTGGATCAGAAAGAAAACACCAAATACAACTCCCAAAAGGATTCTAGTAAATACTCAAATCAAAAAGAAGCCAAAAGGAATGATCAAAAAGATGGCGGAAGACAAGCAGAAGGAAAATATACCAGACGGTATTCAAATTCAAGAGAAGGTGGTAGAAATTCAGATCAGAAAGCGGCATCCTCAAGTAGATATTCCGAATCAAGCCAACATGGATCCTCTGTTGAAACCAAATTTACAGAGAAACCAAGGAAGCTTGAAGAGGTAGAAGCTGTTAATAAGATAAAAAGTAACGAGCTTAAAAGCTCTGAATCATTACCCCCAGATCAAGTGGATGCCCTTCCTGTATTCCATGAGAAATCAAGATTGAAAGGAAATGAAAAAATAGAAATTGATGGTACATTTGATGGTCAGAATGGGGACAGAACAAAGAAGAGAGATAATCCTCAGAGAAGGAAGCCCAAAGAGCTTGTTGATATTTCCAAGAAAAAAGAAAAGTCAAATGAAACAAAAGGTGTATCATTTACACCTGTGCTAAAGTCATTCACTGTGAATAAAGAGAAAAATGAACTTCCTGAGAAAAAAATTAGCAATTCAGGGCCAACCTCTGCTTGGACTAAACCTCTAGTTGCAGCTGCACCTTCGGGAGATCAAGTTAATTCTACCATTAAAAATTCAGTTGAAGAAAGTCAATTGAGTACTAAAGTTGAACCTAAACAAGACCAGAAAGCATTACTTGACACACCTGAACAATTGGATTCAAGGGCCAGTTATAAAGATTTTGATGAGTATAAAGGTAGATCCCATAGAGATAGAGGTCACAAAAGGGAAAGAGATGAGAAAAGAAAAGAAAGTTACAGGGGAGATGATAGGAAAATGTATGATAGACGCGTCAAACGAGATTACTATCCCACAAGAGGCCGTGGGAGGGAACTGTCAACCAGGGGAAGGGGACGTTTTGACCAAAGTAATAAAGGTCACGGAAGAACCTTTGCTCCAACTCAGAAAGGTCGTGGCAGGGGAGATAGAGGAAAGAGATCAAATAGAGATGGTAGTCATTTCTCTAGCAATGTTGGATCGAAGAAGGTAGATGAAAGTGCACAGGAGATGTATTCAGAAGTGCAGACACAAAAAAATAATGGAAAAGAGGTAAGAAATGAAGCAACTGCACAAGAACACTTGACGGATTCAGATGTCAACAAGAGGATGGAGCCGAACCATAAACAAAGTAACATTGATGATGATGACCATCACCTTAAGCCTGATGAAGATGCAGAAGAAAAGTTTAGGGAGCGAAGAGATGGTAGACAGCAGGACAGTAGGAGAAACGAAGGCCGACGATATGATGATTCTAGGGGATCAAGAAGGATGGATGGCTCTTCTAGAAGAGGACGTGGTGGATTTTCAAGAGGAAGAGGTAGAGCAGGTAGATTTACTGGTAATTCTGCTAGACTATATTCAAGTGAAAGACATGTGCATGATGATGAATCTCAATATAGTAAAAAATCAGATAATGTATTTAAAGAAGATGATGATAAAAAAGTCTATCATAGTAGAAGACCTGACCGAAGGTCATTATCAAAAGATGATGATGAGCAAAGAAAGAGCTCAAGATATGATAGACGCAGTACAGATCACAGACGAAGACAGAAACCCGAAAGACCACCACGCTTCCAAAAAAATGCGAGCAAAGCTCGCAGCAAGGATATTGAAACTTTTTCAAATCCAGTTACTAAAGATGTTGAACCAGTTGCCAGTTACGGAGAAGTCTCGAGTGAAAGCGTTGTCAAGCCCACTCTCTCACATCAAAACTCTTCTGATCAAAATAATGAAGACTGGGAGACTGCCTCAGAAAGTAGCGAATTTAGTGAAAAAATTAATAAGAAAGAAAAAGAAAATCAGGAAGTAGTGGTCAATGTATGTTTAGATGATAAGGTCGAGCCAATTGAACCAAAAGAGTCTTTGCCAATTAAGAAGAGCTTCTCAAATCAACGACCTGGAAATGAAAAGTCTGCTCGTCGTGTCAATACAGGTAAGTTAAATTGTTGGAAATTTCTAATATTAAGTGTCCACTAATGCTACTAATGCAGTCAGTGGTGGAAAGAGGTCTTTTATTTGTGATGCCAAGGAGTATCAGTTTAACACTCAAAATACAATGCAAGTAGATCTACAAATAACTATGTTGCACAAATACTAATGATCAAAATGAGCCAAGCTTGACTTAAGGATATATGTTTATAACTTTCTTGAGTGTTTGTAAGAATTGGGAAATTTCACCCTGCCATAGAATTGACTACTCTTCTAGTAGAAAATTCTAATCCTATTTTCTATGCTGATTAGATTTCTCAAATCTCGTTGATGTTTTCAGATTTCAGAGTGGATAACAGAAGCAGCCATCGCAGAGACCAAAGAGTATCGAGGGGTGGTGGACATAGTAACAGAGGTGGTGAACCAAGACGGGGGGGATCAGGTTTCCCCAAATCTACAAACAAGCGTAATGGAGTTAAGCCAACAAGTAGTAATCATAATTCAGAGAATAGTGTTGTCAGGCAGCAGAATTTGTTGTACAGAGTTGATGACATCGCACTCAACAGCCCACAAGAAGTAACAGTAAGATATTCATTATATTTTTTTTCATTTCATTCTTCACTGTTTAAATGCAATATCCATGATTTTATTAGCCAGAAAACTTCAAATTATGTGAGTACCGGAAGTTAGCTATTTTACATTATTTAATTCTGTTGTAGCTGCCTGGCCTTAATTTTTATTGGCATTATGGTTGATTTGTGTCATAGTACACATATATTAAATGAGTTAATAAAAAAGGCACCAATTTACTCTAACCTTTATTTACACAGTTTCGGTATTCTAGTGAGGCCCACCTTAAATTTTACATATTTTTAATTCCAGAATGCCTTAGCAGATGCAACAACAAAGTTAAGTGGAGCTGGAGTGAAGAAAGTGCACGATTCAAAACCCAAGACAGTCACAGAAAAAAAGAGGGATGTTTTAGCAGATTATGACCTCAATAATTATGCTGGTGAGCTTTACAAATTTAAAATACTTTTGTTTATTTTTAGGTTGTTAATTATTCAAGCGGCTATGCAGTTGGTGTCAAATTCTACTGTGCATTTATAATTTTAATGATGATTCATTTATATAGGGTATGCATCATAATAATCCTAAGAAACAAAACAAAAAAAAGATTCACTTATTGAAATGTGTTTTTTGATCATGTTGATTTATTGGTTTATAGGTGTTGTGATTATTGACAATAATCCTGAAGTGATTGTAGAAGATCCCAATGACCTCATGACACCAGATGAAGGATTTCAGGAAGTGATGTCAAAGCAGTCGCGCAAGAAGAAAGCCCAGCAAGAGGAGGAGCGAAAGAAGCAAGAAACCAGTTTTGCTGAGGTATAACCTACACATTACCATAAATTTATGTTCACAAAAATGCACAGTTGTGGGTAGCTGGGCTAACACTACTGAATATTGAAAATGTTAAACTTTGTTCCAACATAACAATTTCTCACTTTCTGTTTAAATTTTCAAGAGACACTTCTGCCTTCTTCAGCCAACTGTTGTTAAATTGCTATGTTGGAACAAAAGTTTAATGTTATCTACACGTACACCAACATAGATGAATTATTATCTACAGATTTATTTTTTCCAAAGAATAATACAAAAAAACTAAGAAAATCAAAGGTGTTCTACAGAAGACATAAATGAGAAAATATTTAAATATACATGGAAACATAGACAAGTTGGTATAAAACAAAGAGGGGAATAGTCAGAAATGAACACACTATATTAATTTTTATTCTTCTCTGTTGTTGTTAAATGCCTCGAGGTTGTGTCAACGTGAGGCGCTATATAAATCCAGAATTATTATTATTATTATTATAAAAATGACACTTAGTGAGCATGCTGTAAAAATATCGACAAATGTAGCCTATATATTATATCAAAACCTAAAACCTTCATATTTTTACCAGTAACAATCTGACATTTTTAGAAGAGATAGAGTAGAGAACTTTATTTATAGTTCAACATTTATTGAAAAGTTAGTGCCATATGGCATGGCAACATTAAACTACCATCAACGATAGTGAATCATATTGAAATGTACTTGTACCGTATCAGCACATGTACTAGCTCTGGGTTTTTAAAGTAAAAATCATGTTTTTTAATTTTATTTTTAAAATTTTGTATCTGACAGACTCTCTGTCCGTAAATGCTTATTAGTCCTCCACTATTGGCCTATTATAATCAGATATTTGCTGTAATTTCAATTTGAGTAATAGGACATTCTCTTAACTTGAAAAACCCAGTGCCACTTGAAGAACAATTAAAGAAAGTAAGCTTAAAACTGCATGTTATATTGCAATACAGTAATGATTTACGTTAGTCCCTTCCTATTTTGTAGATCAAGAAACCAAAACTTGGAACTAATATGAAGATGCGACATGTACAAGGAAAGGCATCAAAATCTTCACCTAGCAAAGAGATGAGTGGCAAGGCAGGGATAAGCAAATCAAATGTAAAAACTTCAAATCTAGACTCAGTACAGGCCACTAGCAGTTCCCCTATTTCAGGCATTGCATTTCAAGGTGAGACTAATATGAATATATTGTACGATGTGATTAAGATTATTTGTTTTTCTTGGTATGTAACAAGTTTCTGCTAAAAATTATCTTTGTTTATATATGACAGCACCCTATGCCATGCAGAGCTACTGATTTCCTGTTCAGCGTTAAGGGACCGCAAGAAATCAGAATGCTAATGTCCAATGATTGATGAAAATTTTATATCACACATAGTCTCTATATACCTCACATTTTATATCACACATAGTCTATGTACCTCACATTTTATATCACACATAGTCTCTATATACCTTACATTTTATATCACACAGTCTCTATATACCTCACATTTTATATCACACATAGTCTCTATATACCTTACATTTTATATCACACATAGTCTCTATATACCTCACATTTTATATCACACATAGTCTATGTACCTCACATTTTATATCACACATGGTCTCTATATACCTCACATTTTATATCACACATAGTCTATATACCTCACATTTTATATCACACACAGTCTATGTACCTCACATTTTATATCACACATAGTCTTTATATACCTCACATTTTATATCACACATAGTCTCTATATACCTCACATTTTATATCACATAGTCTCTATATACCTCACATTTTATATCACACATAGTCTCTATATACCTTACATTTTATATCACACATAGTCTCTATATACCTCACATTTTATATCACACATAGTCTCTATATACCTCACATTTTATATCACACATAGTCTCTATATACCTCACATTTTATATCACACATAGTCTCTATATACCTCACATTTTATATCACACATAGTCTATATACCTCACATTTTATATCACACATAGTCTCTATATACCTCACATTTTATATCACACATAGTCTCTATATACCTCACATTTTATAGCACACATACAATACAGTTAAACTTGCCTAAGTTATTTTACATGCCAAATAGTTGTGTTTTCCATTAATTAACAATCTGTAAGTCAAATTTGATCTAAGTCGAACAATTTTTCAATGGCATTTTGGATTCGACTTCAAGTTCAACTGTATATATTAAGCTTTGTCCATACATCAAATGTAATATGTAGATATTTCGGTGTAATATGATGTCATACCCTTATATGGGCACATCACATAAAATGTGATAGGACAGTGCTGTACATATATAATTATTACAATTCAGCCATTTTTTTTTTCTTTTTAAAATTTGTCGTTTGTGACATTCCAGGGTCAGCATCTCTAACAGCCAAAGCAACACAAGTTAATGCCTGGAGTAAACCATTAGCTGTGACGCTAACTCCTGGGATGACCCCTGCGATGAGGGCTTCAGCTGCTGCAGAGGTCATTGTTAAAAGTGAAACGGAGCAGCATGATAGTGGCATTGAACTGAACAGTGATCACCAGGCATCTGCACCGTCGTCACAAACAAGTTCACCCACCGGTGATGTCAAAGGAGATTCAACATCTACTGATCTCCTGGAACATGTCAATGATAAGATAAGACAACAGAAATCAAAGGAAACCGGCATAGGTGTCACTAGTAAAGCTAATAATTACAATGTGGATGGTATAAAATCAGCAGCACCCTTGCAGGATCTGGTCAAGTTCTCTGCATCATATGACCCTAAACTCTCGTCAGAGAATCAAGACAATATTGATGCGTCTAATATTTTTTCATCTGAACAGCAATTAGGAGTGAAATTCCAGGAAGAAACTCGAGTTGAACCTTCAAGCAGAAACCAATTGAATCAATTGGACCACTTTGACGAACATGTACGGACGACACAGAGTCATCATGCTGCTTCAAGGAGTATAGTGCAGTCCCATGATAATTCAAAAGTTAGTGTTAACAATGTTCATGAAGCCAGATTTTCCATGTCATTTCATACCCTGAAATGACCATTTATTACACCAACTTTACCAACTAATTTATTTATGAACATCAATGACAGAGAACAATCCAACCAACATGAACGATGATTTGCAACTCTCACAAAATACTTAATTATTTGCTGTTCATAAAGACAAAGTTTCTAATTCTACATTTAGTAGTGTTGGATCTAAGAATTCAAAATAAGAGATATGACCCAGGGGACAATTTTTACCGGTGGGCAGTCTAGACCTGCTCAATCCATCTGTGATTGGGCCTGCTGTACAAATTTTTATGACTACAGCACCTTTCCTAGACTTATTTTTAAAAAAATTCAGGGTAGGCCCCCTCATTGAATCTCCTCTAAAAACACCTTTGACAAAAATTGTTTTACTATTTGTTACATTTTCATTTGTGCTATATTTCTTTAAAGCAAACATGCACTTGCACATAATAACATCTACAGAAAATATCACAGAAGACGATTTAATATATATTATGAATTATGATTTAACATTATCTTGGTCTAATAATTTGTTATGTTTTCATTATTCTGTAGAATCGGATTGTTGGGCAACATGCATCGGTCAATACATCACAAAGCCAAGTTGGCCAACAGCAGGCAACTGCTCTGCAAGCAACAGAGATGCCTCATTCCATTTCATTATCACAAGCTCAAGTACAAAGTGGAGTCAGTTTAGCAAGGGAGCCAATTGAGATGCCTAAAAGTTCTGAAGACAGTGATGTCCGCAGATCAAATTCAGATGCTACGATGAAGCACAAAGAAACTTGCGATAACAAACCTTTGCAAATGCCTCACACAATGCAAAGGGAACAGCTCCAAATAAATGCACAGTCGCCAAATTCTCCTGCAACTGAAGAACTAACAAAGAGTATAAAGTCAACCAAAAAGTTATGGGAGTCACGGCAAAGTTTGACAGAGCGAGCTCTATCACCCGGCAGTAGCAGTATAACAACCCAAACTCAAGCTGTGTCTGCAACACCAACTGTCCAAATTTCAAGCTCACCAGATTTCACAGAATTTCAAAGGCGGCAGCATGTTAGTGAAGGAATCAGCCTGGGAGCCCAATCACAATCAGGTGTTACATTTGGAAGTTTTGGTAGTGATGGTGAGCTCGGAGACACGTCAGACATCACCAGTCATGAGATAAACACGTCCAGTGTAGCGGCATCATCAAGTGAAAACTTTGTTTCATTTAACGGACAAACTCTTACTGGGCAGCATCAGTCTGGCAATTCTTATATGGTTCCAGCTGGGTATAATCCCGTTCTTGGTGCCTTCTCCACTGCTGCAAACAACATAACATTTCCCTCTGTGGTTCTCACTACCACAATGGAGACAAAACCAATTAGTGGCAGTATTCCAAAGGGTCCAACTGTTGGATTTAATCCATCAATGATTATCTCAAACTCCGCACAGCACACGCAGTTTGGATCGGTTATAAGACCCAGCAATCCATCACCAAGTGTGCTGGCACAAGGGCACGGAAATCAAGTAGCTGCATTCCAGAGAAGCGATACAGGGCGAATGATGGGCTCCGGTGTAGCACTTACAGGTCCATCCCTTGCATCGGTTATCCAGCATCAGCCATCTAGCAATTATCAATATGGAGTTGGGCAGACCCATCATGCTATTGCACCATCACCACCTGCCCAACAGTCGTTTGCTTCAGTTGGATTCATTACGAACCAACAGCAGCAGCAGCAACAAAATCCTTTACAACAAGCAAATCTTGGGATTTTATCTCAAGGTCTGCCATCATCATCATCTCTGCCCAACCAAACCTTCCTTGGATTCAGCTCTCTTGGATTTTCACAAGGTATTGACAATGCAAGCAATGCATCATTAATTGGCAAGCCCTCCCAACCTGGTCCATCCAGTTTGACTGCCGTTACCAAGACTGTGTCTAGCCTCCAATTCAACAATGTTGCAAATGTGAATATGCAGCCTACGCACTTGTATGCTCAGGTAGGGTAACTTTCAATGAATTAAGCAATAACATAAGTGCACACACTTGTAGTAGATTGAATGAACATTTTGCTGAATATTTAACACATTCATGCTGCTTATTTTTAGTCCTGCTTTATTGCCAAGTAGAAGTTGTCGTAACAATTGGCTTATGCACTGCATATTATTATTTGGATTTTAGATCAGTATTTATCGGCTATTAAATAACAGTTACACTGTATTAATGACAAATTGCAATCTTTAAACTTGATTAAATATTTTTAAACATTCTAATTCTGACACCCCCATTTCACATGAAAAGGAGAGTGTCAGAACATGAACCCAATATGAAAGAATAAAAAATTGAATTTGAATTGTAAATCTATTTTTATTAACTTTTCAGAGGCCAACTACTCCAGTTGCAAGCCAGCAGAATTTAATTGGATCGACCCTCGTACCAGCAATACAGCGCAACATCCAACAGGCGCAACAACCATCATCCTTCTTTGCTACAAACAACCCGGTCGGTTCTCTGCAAGCATCCAACACCTATTTCAGTTCGCTACAAGCACCGCAGGCTAATTCACTTCAACAGCCAACAGTGCAACAAATGCCGCTGCAGCTAACGCCTACAAACCAGTTCCAATATCATTCACAGGCACAAGCTAACATGCATCAATCTTCTTCAAATATGCCTTCTGTCCAATCGACAACAGTGTTTGGTAATTTGGCACCAGCACAAAATAGTTTCTCAAGAGCAATGGGCCAGCTGCCTGTTACTTCTGCTGCATCTAACACATTTTCCACTCCAGTGGACAAGAAAATGGAATTCTTAGCAAACCCTTCGATGATCACACCGCACACTTCTGAACGTAATCTGTCACAGCGTTTCAGTGATCGACCAGGAATGCCAGGTAGGATGATCGTTGAACGGAACAGAAGCAACGTAGCTATCAGCGACTTGCAGCAACATGTCGATGCTAAACCATTCAATCCGGTGAAGAGAAATGAGTTGCCTTTCCAGCACAACATGGTCTGTCCTCCCTCCAACAGGATACCAATGAAGTCGTCATTCAGCAATGTACCGTCTTCAACTTTTATGCCCACTAACATCAACAGTGACAGCGCTCTACAGCAGATACACCAACCAGATATGCCTATGAGATACATTTCCACAGCAACAACTAATGCTGCTTTCCAAAAAAGTGCTCAAAACAAAAACATATTTCCTATGGCTAGCAATCCAAATACAACAGTGATGACGTCGTCACCACAGACTACCATAGCATCGTTGGCGCCAAAGCAGCAGCATACATCTAATCTCTCACAACCTGTCCAACTTGTAGTTCAGCATCCTAATGCTAGAAATCCTACAAAAGATGGACATCAACCTAGAGGGATTAGTGCTCCTGCAGTACCTCGTTTTCCCAATCCGGTGATCTCCCATAGAGCACCAGCTTTTGGTTCATCCGTTGGAGGAACAGTGTTTCCTGTTCCAAACCCAGGAAATATGAATGCATTTCATCAGTCTGTCGGTCAGCAAGCAGCACAGGCTCATAATAATGCAATGACAAGGCAAACCAACCCAGGAAGTGGATCTATCGCTGGCCAATTATTAAACCAAAATAGAAAAGTTAACTGTAAAATGAGTGGTAATTATTCAGCACGGCCAACTGCATCCAAACCATATGAAAAATTGACCCCTGATGCATTGAAAGCGAAGCAAGACAAAGAGAAAGCAGCTCTGCTGGCCTCAACAAGGGCATTCTTTCATGATATGAACCAGCAGAAGTCATCAGCACCTAGTAAAGATGCTGTAGATTCAAAAGGTTCCCAACCAAAAAGCAGTTAAATTCTGCTGTTTCTTCTTTTATGATTCAATATAGGAGAAGCGGTCTTATTTATTGACAGTGGTGTCATATCACAACTGAAGAATGATTAATATAGTTACTTTGTACATAAGTGAAATGAATCTAATGTTATCTTGCAACTTTTGAAACGTATAATGACACAATATGTTAGTTTGTGTTGCTTGAAGTTCTAGTTTGATTGTCTTTGACAGCTTTTTTTAAGATGGAATATTTGATACCAATGATATTTGCTGTAAGATTTGCTTTAAAAGTTGTCAATAAATTTCATCTTTGCAAATATTCCATCAGTGTGTAAAAGTAGAAACAGACAGTTTAAAAAATAAACTTGATTATTTCAACAAAGTTGTGTTGATTTATAATTATTAGCTTGATAACATGTGTACTAAACATGCTATTCTCATGTTTTCGCCCCATTTGTTTATTAAGTGTTTCCTGTTATTTGCCAGCAGTTTATAATGTTTTCTTTTATTTTAAAAAGTAATATAGTCATTTAGGTTTTAGTTTTGTAGATGTATGTTTTGTGCTTAAGAAGGCATATTTGAGTGTATGGTGTTTTTTTTGTGGGCTCTCTTGTAAATGCAATATATATAATATATATATATTGTATATTGAAAATAAATTTCACTATTCTTTGTTATTGGATATAGATACACAGAGATATAAAACAATTATCTGTGTAATGATAGCATTGTTAACTGATTCACCATGTTGAAGCGAGCCAGTTATCATCTTGCTTGCTATCAACTTGATATTTAGCTGGCTAGAAAAAACTTTGTAATATTGTAAAGGTGTTGTAGACTTAAAATTCACAATTCTATGTCTGGTATTGTAATAATAATGTAAAGAAAATAATGACAAATTAATTAGATGTTGAAGGTGTGAGAGAAACGTAGCATTGTTACCGGGTGAAAAGAATGTCGGTGACCGTTTGGGTAGAGGAATCTTGACTTAACTTTTCAGGCCATTCAGTCAGCTAGTTTCATCCATAGACTAGTCATTAAGGAAGCAGTGGGTTTTAGATTGCATGTTTTTTGTGACTGATTGTAGCTACATATTTTTTTTTTGTCTTGTTTACCTGATGCAGAGGGATGGTGGAATGTACTGGTATTACAGTGCTATTCTTCTCTATGAGGACATTGTGTGTAAACTACTCGAGGCTGTAGCTTGAGTGTAGCAGCAGCAGTATACTATGTCATTCTAGGAGCTGCATTCCAAAGGACATTAAAAGTACCTTTGAACGTTTATCCTGTGTCCTTTGTTTTACTGTTGTATTATGGGTGTTATAATAATAATAACGACGACGATAATTATAGTACAGTACTGTAGTAATGCCCCTGGTGCTGCTACTGCTAAAAAATACTTGGAATGCTAGATAGAAAAGCACCACATTAAAACATTGCAAATCAAGACTAGTTTGGTCTCATACTACTGAAAAATACATTGACTATTAAATGATGCTCTTATGCCAGGCCTACAAGTAGCATTTCTTCAGCAAACTGTACTTGATGTTCAGTGTTGTTGCTCTGATAGGCTTTTTTTGCACCAGAAATTGAATACCATGCCATGGAAGTTCTTTTAAATTGCATGTTGTCATTTCTTCATGGAGAGAAGCATAAAACAATGAAGTGCAAGAATACCAAATTATAATTGATATTTATTGTCATTGTGCATGCCTACAAAATAAATACTGTACAACATTTTAAGTATAGTACAGGTTACTCTCAACATACTCCAATTCAACCTTATGGCTAACTATAATATAACTTGAAGATAAATAATTTTAAAAGTCGTCCTATATTAATGATTATATTATTTTATTATCGTTTTGATATCCAATCTATTGAATTCATTTGTTCAAATGAGATATATCATTAGCATATTGGGTAGAAATTTCTGTTTTGTGTGTGCAAACATCCACCAAAATTATACTAATTATGCATTTTCACAATAGTCAAAGTAATACTGTAAATATTAGCAGTAAAAACTTTTTTAGTGTTCAATGCCCCGCTGTGCATTTTGCTTGAGTCCTTGAGATGCCTTGAGCAAGGCAGTTTGTCTTGCTTTATCTACATTGCTTCAGTCTACCTAGCTCTATCAATGGATAACAGCAAAATTACTTGAAGAGTAACCTGCAATGCAATGCCAGGTGTATGGCAATCATCAGCATCACACTACAGAAACTTTGGATACACCTTAATAGTTCGTCTGTATTTTTTTACTTGCTTCTGAGAGCTGCTTAGGCTGTTTATCTTGTACAGAGTAGATGTTTCCTTTTCTTCCCAAACCATGAACTACAGAAGTTTCCTAAATTGAATTAAAAGCATACTGAGCCACTAAATAAAACAATAATGAAATAGAATATTTTGTGTATTAATGTATAAATACTTACAATGCATTTTTATTTTGTTTGATGCATTTATGGTAGTTGTTCACAGAAGGAGCACACAATCCCCTGTAAACAAAATGTTATTAAAAAAAATTATTTAAAAAAAATCCTATCATAAATCATTATTACAGTAAGTGCAACTCGCAAATAAGCACCACAAAAAATATGTTTTTCCATTAAACATGTATTGTCCCTTGCAAATGACAAAAAATCAAATAATTTTGGAAATTAATTTACTCATTTTGCAGTAACATATAAATTATTAATCTGAGCATAGGCATAATTTAATTTACAAAATGACAAATGTGTACTCTGATTTTTAAACTAGATAATTATAATAAAGATAAAAAAACTCCCAGGACCCAGTAAGCATTTTCCAAGTTGATAATCTTTGTTATAGTACAGTACTTTGAAATTGGCAAGTTAATTTCAAAAATGATTTTTACAATTTGTTTGGTACAATATTTTGCAAGGGACAATACATCTTTAAGTGCTAAACAAGCATCCAACAACCCTAATTATTAAAATATAGCTGAGCTTTACACATCTAAACTTCAAATACATGTGAAGCACATAAATACAGTAGTTCCATATAAACATGAGATTGCATAAATTTGCCAATATTGTATAATACATTACCTTTGCAGTTTGTGGAGAGGAATGTGAACACCTTGTGTCATTAAATATTGCTGCATCTCAATTACTTCAGCACCAAATTTAGCCTCCTATGAGTTGAGAAAATATAATAATCATTGTGTTTCACTAAGGAATACAGCAATGTTCCCTTACTGTTGAAAGTTTTTAGGCATACACTTTTACTTCTTCTCATAATGGAATTGATTTAAAACTTAATTGGTACAAATATTTCTTACATCAATAAGACTTGGTTAATTCAGTAGTCCCTACAATGCTAAATACTGTCTGTAATCTAAAAAGAAAATCTGATTAACACAATGGATAAGGTGACTCAATCAAAATGTAATGTTTGAAGAAGGTATTGCATCTATTTTTTAAAAATCCCACTTATATGTAAACATGATTTCTTATGTCGCCCATCAGTATTTTGGCTGCGTTGCCATTTAGATCCCTAGCATCAATTTTTTTATAAAGTACTAGCTTGGTAGGTGTTGCTCCAGGTCGGAATTTCTGTTTTAGGAGAATCTTGTGCAAGAGGCAAAACTCTCTCTAAAAGACAAATATAAATGTGTACAACAAAATTTTGTTTTACCTCAGCTGTTACGATCTCAATTATTTCCCCTTCTTCATCTTCTGGTTTTCTTCTTTTCAATTTGAGATTTTCTTCATAAAATACTAGAAAGACAAAGTATCTGTAATGTAATTTTGACTTGATAATGGCTCTGTTGACGAATAGTAGTGACGATCCAAGCGTGCCTCTTCTCTATTCCATTTTGACTGCCAAGTACAAATTTCTTGTCAACAGGTTCGAGAACACTACACCCTTTATTTTAGCTATTTGTGTTAAGGCAGCCCGACTTTAACATTTGTATATTAACTTATATTACGTATATTACTTATCTTATTTATATACTGTGATTTAAAAAAGGATGTTGGCTGCTTAACTATATCTATAGCCTTGTTATACTACTTTTTTTTACTTAACTCTGTATACTTACATAATTTTGTATATTTTTTGTGCTGTAATAACGACCCATCCCTTAAGGCTTCTACTGCTTCTCTATTCCGTCTTCTTTCTATGCATCTATCAATTCATGAAGGAGATAAAACAATTTTTAAATAAAAATTTTAAATGCATGATTAATTTTTTCTCGAATCGGCTCCCATATGATTTTAGAGAGTGCGCACTCCTATGCTTTTTGATCTGATCTCTCATTATTGACTGGGCGTAGTGCAGAGCATGGCTACTAGAATGTCCAATATACTTGACTATTACATCCATTTATTTAAGCATAGGCCATCTAAATACAGGTAATATTATTAGTTGATTATAACTTTTATAAATTTTACATTAAAATTAGTATATCTCAGTTGATATTTAGAAAGTAGTAGTTTTGTATACAGTATATTAACAAGATTTAAGGTAGTATGAAACAAACTCCAGTAAAAGAGATACAAGCCATTTTGATTCAATATTTCAAACTTTATTAGTTTATCTTCAAGAATTCCTGAAGAAGATCAAATAAAGTTCGAAAAATTGATCACAATGGCTTAAACAAGACTTGATTTTGTTTTTCCCCCTCACCTAATTACTTACTTTTGATTTTTCATCTGAGCAGATTTTACTGATGGCTTTGAACTTCTAACCTGAAAATGGCAACCATACATCAGCATCTTTGTTTATGAAGAAAATATTTATTTATATAGTATTTGTATTATCATTATCAGTTCAAAAACTACTATATTTTGTGAGTTATATCATATATGCATGCATGCATATTGTATTTGTATGTATCTGCGTCAATCTTCTGCACTGATAATATGCTCTTCTGTACCTACTACTAAAAAACATCTATGGTACTCCCAAAACATCATTAAACAATTTTAATACATTTTATTTTATTATTTATTATATTTTCCATCATGTATAATGTGCCTTGACCAGGGAGATGAGTACCCCTACCCACCAATGTGTATCCATCTGGTCCATGATTCGACATTTCAACTTTTATGGGTCATCTCTACAATAAATGTTAAAATGTTGAATCTTTATTAATCCCTCTCATTAATTGAACATTCATTCTATACGTAAACAAAATAAGTGCATCTGTTGTAAAACAGCCTCATATTTATTATATTGCATTTTCAGTTTTTTTTCTAAACTGGGAAGAAAAACTGATGATTATTACCAGAGATGAGGGGCTTCCACCTTTTGAGTTGACTGAGCAGCGACTCGTGGCACTTCTACAACGTTTCAACTTGGTAGCGCAATTGGTCATTTCACCCTGCTGCACATCTGTAGTTACTCCTATAGCTGAGCTGAGTATTTCTTGAGAAGGTTCTTTTTCAACTGGTGAAGTTTCCTTTTGACCTTCCGAATCGGTACCATCTACTTCATTTGATAGTCTTATTTCATTATCACACTGGTGGAGGTGACAGTGGCAGGACTGAGGTCTGTAAATAATATCATTGTCAATGCAATCATATAGATATTTACAATACAAAATTCTTTATTAGTTAATATCCAAATACATTTCAAAAACCATTTTGGATTTCAAATGTGGTGGAACTATACTCTGTTCTGTTTTGTGATGGGCTCATTTGGGTGTGTGGTATAAACATCATCATCCACATATATGGGTACATCTCTCACTGTACATTTGTTTGTGTGGACAGAGCTATGCTCTATCTGTTGGTTTTGGTGATTGCTTGCTTTGGGATATAGTGTGTACACAGTATGGTGGTGTCTCTCAATCCTAATCAGTCTCTCCTTCCCTTTCTTCAAAAAATTCTAATAATTAACTTTTATTAATTATGTTATAATTGATAAATTCTCACAAAATAAATTTCAATTGATCTAAAAAAAATTCCATATAAATAGATGAAGGAAGCTCAAAGCCACAAACCCAATGAAATCAATAAAAAGTTCTAGTGGGTGACTAACATTAAACAAGTTTACAATATTCACAAGAATTTAAGATTATTTGTTCAAACCTTGTAAAAGTATGGTGGTCTTTCTGGTAATCACCAATAGAACCATAGACTGCTGGTCTATGAGCAATGGGTCGTCGTAACAGCTTCACACTAGCCTGTACAAATGAAAAAAAAAATTCAGTATAAGTTATTTACATTAAATTAATTATAACAATAAAAAATTACCCCAGATGGCAAAGCTGCTTGCATTTATCAAATCAAATCTATACATGTATTCAATTCTATTTATTTCATCCTAATCTTGGCAGTGTCATTAAAAAATTAGTTCACTGACTGAATGGTTAATAAACTCCATACAACTATATCAAGAAGATGCTCATGGTGCATTGAAACAGCGGAGAATATAAAATAAATGCTACCATAGAGCTAAAGACTGATTATTTACTTATTTTAGAAACATTTTTCAAACCTTTGAATCATGTAATTGATGATAGAAGTGGGTTGGAATGATAGTATGTAACTCTTCCTCCTCCTCCTCTTCTGATACCTGTAGTTGTTTCACTAAAACATCCAAGTCTGGGGAAGGGCAAGGTGCAGGGGCTGAGATGATATCTGTACTCACAATATCCTTCGCTTTCAATGTGTGTTCTGTTTTGTCTGCCACTGTTTTGAAAGTCCTCTTTTGACTTTCCGGAAATCCTGTATCAAATGGAACTTTGTTATCAGCTTGTTCTATTCTATTTTAATGTGTATTTCTACAGGACATAATTCAATTCTTATCTTTGTACCTTAGTGTATTGGCAACGCCGGGTCTCCTTTTATGTCAGAAAAAGCCTTCCAAAATACATTAAACCGAAAGAGAACATTTTTTGGGGCATAATACATGCTAAAATATTTCATAACATATTGAAATTTTCGAAAATTGCCCAGTTCTTTTAGGCATTAGAACCCCTGCCATCAATCCCCAACTGGGATTCACCCTTCAATTTTTCAGATGCCCCGACATTAATTTCAGGATCCAGGGAGGCTCATGCTCTTTGTTTGTTTAACAACTGCATTTCTCAGGGGCGGATTTAGGGGGGGGGCTGGCCCGCCCCCCCCCCCTTTTGGGAGGTAATAAAAAAAATAAATGAAAGAAAAAGAAAAAAATGATAGCCCACAACGCCTCCAATGTTATTTTCGGGCGTCTGGAACGTAAAAATTTCGTGGGGGCAGGCCCCCGGAACCCCATAGGACATTGTTGTCTCGATCGGCCCAAATTTCGGCCCCACCCCCCTTTTGGACATCTCTGGATCCGCCCCTGTTTCTGCTTGCTGTTAATGCAATTAATAAATGGAAGTAAAATTTCATCTCAACAAATCAAAGTTTCTCACTGTTCTGAGTTGTACTTGCTTCAATCACACTCCACGCTGTTATACATTCTCCTGGACAAGTTGTCAGGGGTTGAATTGAAGTGTTAGTCCCCCTGCCAAAGAATAACTCTAATTTGAATATTCTTATAAAAAAAATTATCAATCATTGAATTAGATTTCATTAATAATAATTATGGTATAAATAATGACCAGTACAATAATAATAAAATACAATTTTCTTCCTTTTGAATGACTGTGGCAGGCCCGTATCCAGAGGGGGTGCGTTTGGTGCGTACGCACCCCCACCAAATCGAAAAACGTTCACTTAAAAGCAGAATTGATTTTGAACTTTTATTTGTAATGGTTACGAATTTATACAGTAGTATTTTTCATTTGGGAAACAATTTACTTGTTTCTCCATGTCCTCCACTGGTAATTTTTTGATAGGCCCTATCGCTGTGTTCACGGACATATAGAGATTAACATGATAAAATGCCTTCAAATTAGTCTACTGGGACATAAGAAAGCAAATTTTTCCGGGGGCTTCGGCCCCTGGACCCCGACCAGGGGCCCTGGGTGCTCCCTGGCCCCCAGCCTGGTTGCTCGCTGAGCTTGCAAAACACCCCCCCCCCCATTCAAAAAGCTGGATACGGGCCTGTGTGGTATGTTAGAACAGGCACTACTAAAAAATGAGTATTAATGAATGAAGAAAACTTGACCTCACCAAACAAGATTATCTGGAAATTTACTCAATGGTGGCTCAGCTCGTAAGTCAACAAAACTTTTGTAATAGCGGCTTCTTGGACTTGGACGATGAGCACTACTTGGACTAACAAAATTTGATGATCTTTTAATTTCATCAAGTTTTGTAAGGGACACTTGTGCTGGCGACAACCAGTTCTAGTAAAAATGAAAAAAAAAATCACAACATTAAGTTTTCCAAGGGCCTTCACCCCTGGTGGACTTGTCTTCCCGTCCTCAATTGCTTGTAATTGCTCATTTTGCTTGGGAGATAGCCTTGGGACTTAGAAGGGGTGGTTTGAGTGGCAAAGCTGTGAGAAATGATTGCCGCTTACTAGCCAAGTTAACATGAGGGCTGATTTGACACCCTCCTCAGTCAAGAGTTCTGAAGTCTTCTTGGATATTGACTTAAAACTAGAGCTTTAGTGTACACATCTAGCTTGTCTGCAGTTTAAAGAATTGCATCGTTTGGAAGAGCAATACTAAGGACAACAATATTCTAGTTTGAAGTGAATAAGCTGGGATCTGTGTAAATTTGTAGAATGTTTTTTGTTTGATTCAACGGTGTTGAGGGAGACCAACTTCGATAGATTTCTCTTTGGAATCCCTTCTCAGCATCATTTTAAGATGTAATTTTTGTTTTGTTTGTGAAGCTTGTTTATATGAGGAAAGTAAACGAAATGAAATTGCTTTACTATCATACAGTAATTCATCAGTGGTGTAACAACGATTCATGGGGTGAGAAAGTGTTGGGGGGGGGGGCCATGTATTTCAGTAATTGATTACCAGTGTCACAAGAGTGGCCCTCTTCACAGTATGGGCCTAGCTGAGAATATCAACAATACTGAAACCTGTTATATTAATACAATTTGATTTTAATCCAGGGACCCCTTGGACTGGGGCCGAGAGCTTCTTCCTCAAAAGCCCATCAGAATTATGTCATTAAATCCTACATCATCAAACCATGCAAACACCCCTCATCATCATCTATTCCTCATCAGGTTACCATATTTATGCAGAACAAAAGTAACCAAGACACCTCAAAATGCAGAAAGTACATTTCAGAGATTCTCTTGATTCCACAGGTGAGACTCAGCAGAACCCTCCAACCCTATTTCTATATGCCCACACTCCAGCATCATCACAGAGAAACTCTCTTACGCCTACTCTTATACGCCTGATACTTATATAAAATTGATGGATGGTAATAGTGCTTAAGGGAGCTTGAAATTTACTATATGCTGATACAGTACTGTATGATGATTGATTAGCAATGGTGGTACACACCACCAGGACTCGTCTACTTCTAACAACCAACCGGGCCAGCGGATCGGCCTGTACGACTCAGTTGTTTGTGAAGAAAGGCTGCACAGCTCAAATTACTGCTGGGTGCAAGTTAAGTAAGTATGTACTTACATCAGTAGCAATTTCATTTATAAGTTCGTAGTCACATGCCTGATTTTCTAGATCCTTATTTCTTTCATAATTCATTTCAATTCAGTATACTGCCGAGTATAGACCACACGTCTTATTATCCATGACAACGGGACACCGATCCTGAGAAAGTCGTTGTTTTGTTGTTGACAAACTTAAACGACGGCGTGCCTCGATAAGTTTCGATAGAGTGCGCTCTTCAAAAAGTCATCCTTAGTAAGCTAATTAGCACCGACTGTGCAGCAGCATGCAGCGCCCGGCAATTATCTCAAATATTTTAAGCTTTCGGAATTAGGGTACGTATGGCCGCTGTGTATATAAGTAGACATAGGCCTAGCTTGTATTCTGTTCCTTTTAATTTATTAATAATAGAAAAGTAAAAGTAAGCCTTCTATGCGTGGTTATATTTAAAGAATCGGCGTTCTTGAGTGGGCGGGCGGCAGGCCTCTCTTCTCAGTAGGATAGGAGGAGGCTAGCTAGGCTAAGCGAGGCCAGTGCAGTGAAGGTAGTAGGTCACTTCGGCCCAAAACCAAATCGACCCAAACCAACTCGGACCAAAACCAACTCGGCCCCAGACGACACTTCGGCCCAAAACCAACTCGGCCCAGACGACAACTACCCAATTTGATACAGAATTACCCAGATGAATAGTGATCGCGATTACCCATTAGTTGCCTACCCAAACAAAGACAATTATTATTATTATTATTATTATTATTATTATTATTATAATAATATGTCTAATATTATTTTTTTAGTATAACTATTCTTATTATTTATTTTTATATTATCCGAATATATTTTTATAATTATTACATTATATTTATTGATTATTAATATTATTTTAGTATTATTATTATTATAATTATTATTGTCATATAGGCCTAATATTATTATTTTTCATTAGGCCTATTACTATTCTTATTATTTGTTTTTTATATTATCCACATTATTACTAGTCCATTACTAGTCCAAGAAAGTATAATACATACTCCAAGTATTGAAATACACGCCATCGTGTTGGGATTCAATATTTCGACATTAATTATGTCATCATCAGGGTTGAAAAATTATCCATATTAGCAAGCTTATATGCACTAGAACCAAAAGTGTTTAACCAATCAAAACATTACCTCTAGTAGGTGACATAGTGATTTAAACAAAAGATCAAAGCATTCTTACTCTAATGATCAAAGATACCTACAAAAACAAAGAAAGCTCTTTTGAAGCT